TCAAGTTGTGAGGTCATTTTATTTTTATTTTTATTTTTATTTTTAAATTTGATTTTATCTAAATTCAATTAATTAACATATAGTATATTATTAGTTTCTGAAGTACAGTTCAGTGATTCATCAGTTGTATATAACACCCAGTGCTTATTACATCAAGAGCCCTGTGAGGTCATTTTAAACTCAACTCATTCAGGTAAACCAGGGAAACAGGGTTCCTGCAAGTCCCTGAGGATATCTCTAGAGTATGGAGAGTGAGGAGGGAAAAAGTAGGCAGAAAGAGACTGCTTCAGTGAAAGTCGCTCCAGGTTTATGTATGTTATGTGCCAAGGCTCTGTTTTAAGTTTTGATCGAATTATGTATTCCAAGAGTAAAGATAATAGCAATCATAATGACAGTGACAAAAAATGGCAATATTATTATTATATTAGCCCTTCAAGAAGATACTTGCCAACCTTAAGATTGTATGCTTCTAGATGAGTTTTCTCAGGAAAATATATCTGGGTTTTTAATGTCTTCTCATGATTGAGGGAGTCTCCTTTGTCCTCTAAATAGGCAGGATGTTATTCAAATACTATTTTTTCCCTTTACTAAAGATACCTTCCCACCACTCTTTTTTCCCTTCCTGATTTTCGTTTCTTCCACCATTTTTTTCTTTCCTTCCTTTATGTTAATGGCTAAATTGGTTAAAGTTTTAAAATATTGAAAAATAACTTTATAAAAGAATCAAATGCATCTATCTATGTATTTCTCTTCTATTAACATTCCATCACTTGAAAATGAATGAGTAATTAGTGTAACTGATGTGGACACTATATTGGACCCCTGAAACTCACTTGCAGGGTTTGTTCACGATTCAGAAAGCCAAGGCAAATGACCATTTCAAATTCTGTTTTGCTGCTGCTGCTGCTAATTTATAAAGGACTTTTGAGAGCAAATGTCCAGATTTAGGAAATTAATCTATAGTCATGGTTAATAATATCAGTGGAGAAAAGGTGCAAAACAATAAATTATGATTAATTTATTATATACGTATATTTTTAAATTAAGTCTGGGTTTTGTTTTGTTCTGTTCTGCTACCCCAATGGCATTAGATTCTCATTCCGTAGCACGCCAACCTCATTGGTTCATGTAAGTTTCCCTCATGTATGTATGTGTGTGTGTGTGTGTGTGTATGAGTGTGTGGCTTTTGTGTTTTTTGTTTGTTCATTAATTTATTCATTTTCTTTTATCTCATTTTCTTTTCCCATTTCCTTCTTCTGTTCATGAACAACTATTATAATTTACAAAATTTCTGTTATTTTTCTTTAAATATATAATGTTACTTGGTATAAATAGCATTTTAATGTACATCAAATGTCATTGTCCTATAGACAGATCCTGTCTCTCACTTGGTTTTACTTGGAAAGTAGTTTTAAGGTGGATCCACCTTTTGGTGTTAACGCCTGGTATGGTCTTTTTCCTGCACCCTCTGCCAGATGTTTTCATCTTGAGCACTTACTATACTCTCATTGTCCCATTTCTCCTGATACTGCCCCCTCCCACAAATAGACACTCAGCGAGATTTCTGAATCATAGAGTATACATGTGTTTAATTTCATGATGTTCTGCCTCATTGCCCTTCAGAGGGGTGTACTTATCTGCATTCCCATTAAAATAATTCCATGTTTATAAATTGTAAACAAGCAGTTGTTGTATTTTCCTAACACCTAGTCATAGCATTCTCACATCACAGAGTGGGGGTAAAGCTGAACAGCCATCCAGCAAGTATAATCTCCTTTGGAGTCCGGATCCCCTGATCCTCCATCCTGGTCAACACCTGGTATTTTCTGGCTTTTAAACTTTTTGCAAGATGATGAGAGCTCACTAGTATGTCATTATTGCTTTAATCTGTACTTTCTAATCACTAATGAGTCTGAGCCTTTTTATATATACCTATAACACTTTTAAAATTCTTCCTCTCTGAATCATCTTAATTTTACTAATTGCTAAGATGTTTCTGTTTTTTTCCAGTAGAGTATCATTTTTATTAATTTTTATGACAGCATACAATATTAGATGCAAGGTCGTGATCACCACGTAAGTGACTAATTGTGTAGCGCCTGCCACTTACTAGGTGCTGAAAAAATAGTTGTGGAATAAAAAAAAAAACAGTCATGAGCATTTGTGTTATATACTTTTGGATATGCCTATAAGATTTCAACTGTTAACTCAAATGTAATCCATAAGATGTTTGTGATGTAATGGTAAATAATAAATATAGACAAAGAAATAACATACATGAAGTTGTGCATTATAAAGAATAGCATTTACTAGTTTTAGGAGATATAAGTTAAGTAATCCTAGAAGTTATAAAAGTTATTTTTTTATTCAAACATTACCTGATTATCTTTTTTGTTTTAAATAACATGTTAAAATATAAGATTCTGAGCAGCAAATCCTGTCATCGGTTGTTGCACATTCAAGAAAAATTCAGATGATCTTAGTTTTCCTATTAAAAGCTATTAGTGTAGGTACTTTCTAGGAATATAATTGAAACATCATCTGTCCACTCTCAAAGTTGAACAATTCATTAATATACATGTTGATATAATTTAAATATAAATAAAATGTAAATGTTTGCTCATAATACTAAATAATTGATATAACCATTCATGTGTACGCTGCCTTCCAGGAATTATTTCTAAAACAAAGAGTACAGGGTTATCTTCGGATTGACTCTGCTTCCATTCAAGTCAATTAAATGATAAAATATTACTTTATTTTAGTGTACTTTATCACATTTATCATAGTGATCCTCAATGTAGCATGATCATGTTCAACAAATTTTTACTGCATTTTAAAATAGTTTAGAGGATTTTGAACTAACTTTTTTCAAGAATATTGTATTTGAAATCATATCATACTTAATTCTCACAATTATTAAAACCTTGTCATGAATTAGTAAGGAGTGATTGGCTGTATTCACTTGGTTATTTTAGTATGGTTCTTGTAGGATTTGTAGGGATTTGAAGAGGTGACAGATAGGAAAGGTATTATTAAAGGATGATGTGCAAGTCATCACATTCCCTGTAGCATCTGATACTCACCATTGGAACCAAGTACTGGCAAAATCTTTTGAACCACAGTCCTGCACAAACTCTGGTGGAAAACTGAATGAAGAGAAAAGAAGTTCAGTCTGTGTATCATGGAACAGAACAGATTGTGTAGTTTATGACCTCAGGTTTATTTCTACGCAAGCTTCTAGTTATCTGTTGTTGTTTTTTTCAGCAATTTTATTAACAATTCTAAATAGTTTTCCCTTTGTAATACTGGAAGCATTTTTTAATTTCATTGGGTAATTATGTCTTGTAAATTTGCCCTTTTATTTTGAGAGGTGAAAAATAAACAAGTTAATCCAAGAGAAGAAGCATGAAGATTATGCAGCTATTTATTTTCATAAAATATGCTCTTGCTGAAAAGTGACAATGCAATTATAACACTATAATTTGTTTCAATTCAAAATCATCTTTACATAAATATACTCTTTTTGCTGACTTTTTTTAAAAAGTGTGTTTTTCAGTGTGCTTTTCCTTTTGTAGTGCTAAATTTTTCTTTAGTGGTATCATCATTGGCTCTTATGTAATTTTTTCATTTTATACGTACAACAGCCTGGGATTGTTGAATTAAACTTAAGGCCCATCTGAAGATAAAGTTTTGTTGGAGTAAGTTCTAGAAAAGCCATTTTTGTTTGTGTTATTGTGGACATTTTTATGAACTTCTTTTGCCATTTCACTGTAGTAAAAAGAATTTCCCTTACTTGTTTGCAACTGGTAATATGCCTTCCAGTGTATATCAAAATCATTAAAACTTTTGAAGATTCAATTATGCCATGTTTAAAGTTTTCCACTGAAGCCAATGGTTTGCAATAGGGAATTTCACATAGGCATCTGTGAAGCTCATTGAGAAGCTAATTGTTCAAGTATTTCTTTTTATTTCAATTATAGCCTAATTATGGCATACAGATTTTTATTAGGTAAAGCTGGTAGCATTCACAAATATTTGGGCACTATAACTTGGATAGTTTCATCTAATTTCTACCCATTCACATAGTGGCATATTAGGACCATACGATTCATGCCAAATATGTACTCCTAAATTATTTTGACAGCTCATATAAAATGGACCAAAGAAACAAAATTTAAAATATTGAAACACTGTTACTACATTTTTTTATTGAAAATTATCTTTCTAGACAGAGAGAAACATGAAATGCCCTCTAATTAATCCAGGAACATAATTGATGCTATCCAACGCAAAAAGAAGATATAGAGTTCTTTGTTGAAACATTATTAAGAATTTCAGAATGGCGCCAGTGATGTGTTAAACCAAGCATGGGCCCTTCTAAGCCCAGGGCCTTGTCCTACCACATGGGCCACCACACACACACACACACATACACACACACACCCATGAAGCTGTCCTCTCTGTAACATGCCTGCTGATTCTACTCAGGGATGTCTTGCATGCAGTGAAGAAAAAGAAAAAAATACCACGTGGAAATCTGTCTTATCTGAGCAAAGTTGAAGCAATTAACAGCTTCTTAAGGGGAGCTTCACAACAAGCTACTAATGACTTTTTTTCACCTCTCCCATTCCATTATGGAATGCTTGTTCCCCATAGGAAAATTATATTGGTGCTTTTTTTTCCTACACAAAATTGGCCTAAGCAATATATGTTCAATAATGTTTTCTTTACTAAAGTAGTGTGAACAAAATGCATGTGTTTGGTAATATTTAATAAGTTTTCAAAAGCAACATTTTGCATGTTGTAGTAGACACATTTGATGTGTTCAGGTGAGTGATGAAATCAAACTACATGTGGCATTAATGTTCCAGAGAACGTTGAACTGATGCTCTCTGAATTGGTGTGCTGAGTTGGTTTTTAAATGTCTTCTACGCCTTATGGACCCCGACTAGAAATACAACACATTTTTAATTTTATACTTGAATTTGTCTCTTTAGGGATGCAAGTATTGGAATGGAATGGAATTCCTTTAACTTCTAAAACGTATGAAGAAGTGCAGAGTATCATTAGTCAGCAAAGTGGGGAAGCAGAAATATGTGTAAGACTGTGAGTTTTTCCCCATCTTTTTGTTTCCATTTTTTGGCTATTCATGACTCTTTTAATTTAAAATTGTTAAGGTGGAACCTTTGCCAGTCAGCAAGATTTTCAGTAATTAGAAAATAAAGTGAATACAAGTTTTACAGATTTCTTGTGCTCAGAATCAAAGTCGAAAGCATAGAAAGAATTCAGCTAATTTTGTGTCTGATTATGTCAGTAGTTCTCCCCTTTCATGCTTTTACTGAAACATGCTTCATTTAAATGAAAGCCTAAACCCATTTAGATTTCATGTCTGTGATAGTATTTCAAAATGAACTTACATTTAATCCATAAAGATTTCACCTTAAATAATCATTTTTATCAGCTGACTTTTAACAGCATTGCAAATATATATTTGGTTAGAAGGATGAGCATGCTTGGAAATTGCTTTATATCATTAACCACTTCTCATTTACCTACTGAAAAAAAAAATCAAGGTAGTTGAAAAAAAGGGCCTTTTGTCTCCGGTTTCCTCAATTTCTTTCTTAATTTCTTTGTTTTAATTTTTAGGGACCTCAATATGCTCTCAGACTCTGAAAATCCCCAGCACCTGGAACTTCACGAGCCACCAAAAGCCGGTAGGTGAAAGTCATCTGCTTTCCACTGTGGGTTAAGGTGAAGACGTAACTGAAAGGTAGTTATAGGGGCACATGAAGCTGTAGATGAAAATATAAAGACAATCATTGATACTGTATGGGCAAGATGCAGTTATAGACTAATAGATGTTTATTTATTTATTTATGTAATCATAAACAAAATCAAAAGCAATACAGCTACATTTTAGCATTCTAGGGAAACACATACTTGCATGTTAGACCCGTGAAAGAAATTCATACAGAATTCCTGCTGTGTGAGTTTACATTTTTAATTCTTTAAAAATAAATTCATCCCACCAGAGTAATCCATGGAGCCATTTACTTGGGGTTTTATGGAATTTTTAGATAATACTTGATTCTCTTTAGCATAACCGGACTATAGAACACTCATTCTTGAATCTTTTGATTGCCTTTTTCTTATAAAGAAAAAAATCAACATGTAATTTCATAAGGACGTGATGAAACAGACTTAACTCTTTCTGAGCTAACAACCAGAGTCTTATAAATGTAGATCGATTATTACATGAGAAACATCACTTATTTGTTTAACAAATATTTACTGAACATTTTCTCTGCTGCAGCCAGCATTCTAAGAGTCTGGGTTACTGCACTAAAGAACAGACCCAGGCCTGCAGAACTTTTCATACAGCTGTGCATGCATGTAAAATTACCTTGTCATCTAGAACTCGCATAAGCTCCATGGTATTAAGTACCTATGAAACTGAGAAATACATAGTCACTTCATTTTGTTGTAGTGGATAAAGCGAAATCCCCAGGGGTTGACCCTAAACAGTTGGCAGCAGAGCTCCAGAAGGTTTCGTTGCAACAGTCTCCACTGATTGTGTCGTCCGTTGTGGAGAAAGGATCTCACGTTCATTCAGGTCCTACATCAGCGGGATCCAGTTCCGTTCCCAGCCCCGGGCAACCAGGGTCCCCCTCCGTGAGCAAAAAGAAACACAGCAGCAGCAAGGTGAGAAGTGACCTCTGAGTTACTTATTTTCTCCTGCTCCTTATTCAGACAAGGACAAAGGAAATCCAGTATCATTTTCTAAGGTGTTTTTCTTGTGATTTCTCATTTTATTGAAACAAAAAAAAATTCCATTTCTTAATATATAACTAATCAAGATGTTATAAAGATGATATATTTCTACATTTCTTAAAATATTTTAGCAAATTATTATTATGAGGCTCTTGAACAGTGTGTCTAATGCTTTGTAATTCCTGATTCTTTTTCTCTGTAGTTGTTGCATAAATCTGAGCCTCTTTATGTATGGAACATTAGCTTTGCATCTTTTTGGAAATGCAAGATATACATTACATTGGATTTGATCATTTAAATAAAAGGTATAAAGGATGCAGAGATAAAGAGGATTTAGGACAATAAGGAAAACCTGTAATATAGAATTGCTACTTTGAATTTTATCCCTAATTCCATACTAATTGGGGTGCCTGGGTGGCTCAGTCATTTAAGTGTCCAGCTCTTGATTTTAGCTCAGGTCATGAACTCTGGGTCATGAGATGGAGCCCCGCATTGGGCTCTGTGCTCCACGGGAGTCTGCCTGAGATTCTGTCTCTGCCCACCACCCCCCCATGCTCTCTCTGTCTCAAATAAATAGATAAGTCTTTTTAAAAAAAGAAAAAGAAAAGAAATAAGGAAAACCGGTAATATAAAATTGCCATTTTGAATTTTATCCCTAATTCTATACTAATAAATGTTCCCTTGTTGGAAGTCTTCATTTGAAATAAATGTTTCTAACACTATTATTTCCAAGCTACTGGGCTATTAAAAGAAAACATAGAATTAGTTTTTTAACCTTATAAAAGCAGATGAAATGTAGACATTTTGCAGCTTTTTCTTCATAGATTTGATTCTTAATAAAGAAATTCTCATTATAGTCAGTAAATATATTGGAAAAAGTATTCTTTTGTTTAAACAAGAATAAAGATTTCTCTTTACATGGTAAGATATATGAGAGGGACAGGCCATGCTTGGGTAAACTGACTGGACTTCAGAAAACAAAGTTTTTTTTACGAAGTATAAAAACAGCAGGTATCTCCAGGTGTCCCCCCAAATCCCTTTTATTCAGAAACAAACAACAAAGGTAAGATGATCTTAATCATTGTATCTTTTGATGACTTGTCCCAAATTAAATATAGCAGGGCTTCTCAAAGAATAATTTCAAGAATAGTTAGATTCAATTTCAAAACAAATTTTAATACAACTATAATTTCCCATGTTTACCACAAGCAATTGTGTGTTAGTTTTCAAGAATTACCTCATGGAGGCTCTCTGTCTCCTGAGACTGGTATTTCTCATTCCTTTCTTAATGTTTCCAGGTAGAAGGCCTCAAGACATAACAAACTCTGCTAGCAAAGTTTCCAAACCAAGCACATTATAATAAGTTTCTCATCTTAATTATTTTTTATTTCAGCAACTGACATCACCATCCTTCCAGAAAATTAAGTACAAATTTAAGACCACCATTGCTCCTCTTTTTTCTCCATTAACAGTGTCTGATCAGTCACTGAATCTTGATCCTGAGAATTCTAATTTTCTAATAAGGCTGTAGTGATTTTCTGTCTTCTCTGAACTCACCAATTTTCTTTAGCAAAGCATTATTTTTTTCCCCAACATTATTATACTCACTACTGCTAACTCCATTCACCATTCTCTCTTCCTTCCTCTTAAACTACCTTCCAACTGTCTGATCTGTAACAGTGATCTGATTGGGTCACTACCCTATTTAAAAAGTATCCCTGCTCCCTAGAAAGTTGACTGCCTCACCTCTGCCTACGACCCTATCCTGCTCAGCCTAAAAGGGCTTGGTCAGTGGTTTTCCTTGGGAAATTATTACAGTAAGTATAACGTTCAATCTTTACAATAGCCTTGCTAATAAGTACTCTATATATTAGGGTTTCCAACTCATTCCTACTTTCCACGGACATTTTTGGATGGCACCTCAGTGTCAGGGGTCACACTTTGTACAAGATACAAAGATGGATAAAATCCCTTCCCTGCAGACTAGGTAGACCAGTAGTTCCTAAAGTGTGATTCCCAGTAACAGCATCAGTATTATCTAGAAACATGTTAAAAATGCAAATTCCTGATCCCACTTTATACCTTCTGAATTAGAAACTATGGGGATAAGACCAAGCAACCAGGGTTTTAAAAAGTTCTCCAAGTGTGTGTGCTGCCCCTCGAAGTTTAAAAGGTACTGATCTAAAATACAATGATATGTAAACAAATTCATTGAAGGTATATAATGTTGGATGTCATTAAGAACTACAATGAGGGCATGAAGAGTGAGGTTAAGAAAGCTGGTGTTTAGCTAATGAACTGATTTGGTAAAGGGGATAAAGGGACCAACATTCCAAGCAGAGAGTGCAACATGAAAAAAAATCTCAGAAACAGAAATTGCCTGCCTAGAATGTAAGTGTACAAAAAAATACAGGGATAAGAAATAAAGGAAAAGCCTAGACGGTTGTAAATTGGAGGATATTATGTGCCATGCCTGGCTTTTACACTGCAGTCTGCAGGAAATGAAGAGCCAGTGATAAGCTGTAAGCAAAAATGAAGTAAGAATAATAGGAAGGCTTTGTCCATGAAATCTTTCCATAGTCCATTCCTGCCTTAAAATCAGAAGGTATCCTTTTTCCTTTTCTCCTCCCTCTGAAGTGCCCCATGCTTTATGTATCTCTTAAGACAGTTTGTATCTTTTTTTTAAAAGATTTTTATTTATTTATTTGACACAGAGAGAGACACAGTGAGAGAGGGAACACAAGCAGGGGGAGCGGGACAGGGAGAAGCAGGCTTCCTGCTGAGCAGGGAGCCCGATGCTGGGCTCGATCCTAGGACGCCAGGATCATGACCTGAGCCAAAGGCAGATGCTTAACCACCCAGGTGCCCCAACAATTTGTACCTTGATTGTAGCTACTAGTTTCCTTATTTAATCCTCCCAGTTAGGCTGCAAGCTCCTTAAGAACCAAAACCCCTTTCTTACTTTCTCTGTGCTTCTTAAGCACATAGTAGAGGGGCTTACACAGCATAGTAACAAATAAATAAATATTGTGAATTAAAACATCATTGGCACTTGTGAGTCTCTATAATATTACAGAGGTGCCAAGTTTGTTTTTTGTTGTGGCAAAGTTTTGGCAATGATTAGAAGATGAAAATAAGTATAGTAGGACAAACATCAAGGAAATTATATTGACATGTTTTATGATATGCAGTAATTTTTTTCCATGCCGAGAATGTGGCCTATGTGGTTTTACTATATTTTTGCTGGAAAAAAAATTTATAGAACTGTATTGTCCATAATGATAGCCACATGTGACAATTGAGCCCTTGAAGTGTGGCTAGTCTGAATTGAGATATACTGTAAATGTGAATTAATGCAAAGTTATCAAGACTTAATATGAAAAAAGAATATAAATTATCTGGTTACAATTTTGATATTGATTTCATGGTATAATTATAATAGTTTGAGTAAATTGTGTTATATAAAACATTATTAAAAATTAATTTCACTGGCTGATTCTTACATTTTTAATGTAACTACTAGAATATTTAAAATTACCTATGGTCTCATATTCTACTCTTCAGTGATGATATAGAGATTACTTAACTCTTACTAGTAATAATAACAATAATCAAATCTAATCACTTTTGGGATGTATATGTATATAATGTTACACGTACATTTTTAATTAAAACATATAGTCACTAGATGCTAACACTCTTGAAGGAAGAGACTGTTACCTGTTCATCTTTTGGGGCATTTATCTCTAACATTTAGCTGGTATAGTTTCTTAAAACATTTTTTTCTGAATGAATGAATGAATGAATAGATAAATAAATTTAATGATATTTCTTGACCCATCAACGTGTAGTATTCATAAAACACAATACATTGTTTTCATTTGTTCTCCAAATCCTACAATGTTAAAGAATTTATATTGAGAAATTACGGAAATATTGAGTGATGGTCTGAAACTTACATATCCCTGAGTCAGGTACTATGTCCACAAATGTCATATGTTCTTTAGATAATTTATAGAATTATGGTTTTAACTTCATTGTGTTTTCATTAGGTGTGAGACTCGGTATGAAGTTATAAAACATTAAGGTAACGGAATGTATTAAAACTAAAATATTTAAATACAGTTAGCATAATTATACATTTGGATACTTAGAACACCATCTAGTAAACATTCTAAATGATTATTCATAAGTAATTATTAATCTGTTAATACTCAAAATGGTTTCTTCTGAGTAGACAAAGGTAAAATATGAATCAGAATTATTTAAATACATGTTTATATAAGCTATGTATATGACTATTTTAAATTATTTTGTTTAAACTAATTCAATATGAATTTTTATCTTCAAAATTTTTATTTTACCACCTCAAGCTGTTTGCCTCTGAAATTCAAAACAAACCTTCTTCATTTTATCTTTAAAGTTTGAATGATTTCTTTCAAGTCATGGTATGAATAAATGATTCAATTAAAGTACTTTAATCATGTCTTATGAAATAGGTCACTGGTTTCCCAAACTTTGCTGGTCATAGCACCCTGAATGTCTCAGTAATTTTTTTCCATGGCTCTCTTATGCCCAAACATATACCTAGAACAGTTTTATTTATTAAATAATTAATTAGTATTTAAATCCTAACATCTGGGTAGCCGTTGAAAAAACAATACATATAAAATGAACTGTAAGTCGGCTAATTGAATTTAAATTTAAAAAGTAATGTATTTGTTTCATTGTTAATAACTAGATTACATTTCATTGTGATATGTGCAGCTGATGGACATTGCACAGGTACTCAGACCATGAAATCAGACTGCACACTAAGTGATTTCCTGTTTTTTACTCAGCTCACTGAGTTTCTTGAAGTACATTTTTTATCACCGCAATCATTAAAAAACCTCACAAAGATAGGACATCATTGAAAGGAAAGTAGTTGGCTCTAATCTTGAAAGGGAACTCCCCGGAGCTCATGGTTTGCTCGGTGTCCAACAGATACTGATCTTTTTCAGACAATCACTTCTTAATATTTCACATTCCTTAATTAAAGTTCTATCCTATTCTATGTAAGTTCTCACTTCCTTAATAAGTTGCTTATGTTGGTAAAGCCTTAAGAATATTCAGGAATGTGATCTGGTAAACTGGCTCCTAATGCTGAAAAAAATGACTGATTGCTGACTTGTTACATTTCAATGCCGTATTTGTACAAATGGAGAGGTGATATCCCTGACTCCAGATCTGTAATAGTGTTTCAGGTAATGGGGCACCCACACTGGGAGATATTTACGAAAATGGAGGCCAGCCTGCTACCCCCAAAATAAGGCCCTGTCTGTCCACATGTGCATAATATTGGCCTTGCCTCCCTAGAGGGAGCAGGGAGGGGTTGAGCACCCATCGAAGGAGAACAAGGATGGACTTCTCTAACCTTTGTGCTCCTAGGCAGTCATCATCTAAAAACAATGTCTTTTTCATTTCTCTATAGATCTTTGAAACCTGTAAATACTTAAATTGAGTACTTTAAACCAAAATGCTCATTTCATTAAGTAATTGAAAATGCATTCCTACAGGTATAAAATTATAGCTTCAAAACAGGCTGAGCAAAATGAAAAAAAGATTTATGTATCTATAAAATTAAATCACATATTGAGAAGGAAATGCATTTTCCAGGCAGTATGCTCTGACCAAATAAAAATTCCAGAAGGAAGTTGAAATGGTAAATTTTATGAAGGGCTTATCCATTAATACAATATATGTTTTTAATATTGCAGCCTACTGATGCAACAAAGGTTGTCTCTCATCCGATTACGGGGGAAATTCAGGTATGGAAGTTTTTGAAAAATCAGCATTGTACCATCTTCGATGGCTGTTTTGTTCCCCCAACCCTGGTCTGTTGAAATTATAAACACTGTTAGGACCTTTCCTGTTTTATATATGTTGTATATTACACATACAGACCTGTGAAGGAAAAAATACAATTTTATAGAATAGCATTTTAGTACATAGTTCATAAAATCTAATTATATGTATGCAGTTCTATAATTTGATATGTGTCTGATGCCTTAGCAATATCAGTACGTTTTATGTCTCAGTTTATACTTGTTGAATGTGTTTCAAACATGACAGATTCTTCTGGAAATGTGAAGTTTCCTCTTTAAGAGTTTCATGAGTCCAGTGCTATCCTCTTTTCTTCCTCCTACCAACAACTGTTGTATAATCGCTGAACATTTCCTCTAGAGTAGTGTTTTTCATACCAGCGGTCATAACCAGTTTGTAATTCATAAAATCAACTTAGGGGATTTTGATCAGGAAAATAGAAGAAAAATAGTACAAATCACTCTCTTTTTTACTTCTATAAACGTGTGTTTCTGTGTGTGTCTTGTATCATAACTATTTCTTACTGTGGGTTGTATTCAGAAATGTTGTAAAAACTGTGCTTTAGGTGATACCAAAAAGTAATTCAGGATAGATTTAAAAAATCACATAAAAATAAGTAACACAATGTAAAATGATAACTATTGGGAGATAGCCACTTTCAGATAAGGGGAAGAGAACAGTAAGTCTTAGAGCTGTGTCTCCAACATAGTCTACAGAAGTTTTCATGAATGGTTTCACAAAGGACAACAGACTTGAACTAATTTGAGGATAAGCCCTGAGAAAGGGGGACTGTGTTCCTGGCAGAAGAAATGCTTCAAGGGAAGTTTCCGCTGCCAGAGAGTAACAAAAGGCAGGGATCAGCTCTGCGGCTGTGAAATGTTCCTGTACGGATAAGTTGAAACTAAATAAAACCTTGGACACAAGCTGAGGGGTGTTAACCACCACACTAGGGTGATCAGTAAGTATTTTGGGATAAGGGAGAGACTAATTGAAGGGAATATATAATAAGATTTCATACAGCAATGGCATCCAGGAAATATTATAAAGGAGAGGACACAAACGCAAAGGAAGCAATGAAGTGATGATCTAGGCTCATGCTGATTAAAGCAGAAGCGGTGTGTGAGTGTGAAATGGGAAGAAGTGCAGAATGCGGGCACCTCACTGAGGAGGATCCAGCAGCCCAGAGCCTGGAACCTTCCATGCTGCACACCTTGCAGCCTCACTGCTCCTTCCCCCTTCCAAAAAGCCAGACCTGATCTTTCTTGATTTCACCGGCAGCCAAGAAAATGCTAAATTTGCTGATTTGCTGATTCCTAATCCCCCCCCCTTTTTTTTAAGCTTCTTGCCCCTGGACCAGTGTTGGCTTTGTTTCTTTTTGCTTGGGGTTGTTTTTTTCCTTCTTTCATTTTCCTTTCCCTTGAGCAGTAATATTTAATTCTATAGCAGAAATTTACTCTGATAATATCCTTTCTTAACTCTTAGGCTGTTTTCTTTTCTCTTTTAATATTTTCTCATGACAGTGATTTCTAGCTTATTTCTTTATTTTCTTGTAGCAAAACCTTTTTACAAATGCAACTTTATGTGGACAACCAAATAAATGAATCCACCAGCCCTGGGGTAGCTCAGGGTGGAAGGTGACCGGGGACGTTTCATTCTGTCTCAGAAGTAACATCTGAGCAACCCTAAGCGTTTTTTAAAGCACTGCAGGATCAATGGTGAGAAGCACTTTCTTAGGGTTAGCCTGCAAGTTTTCATTTAAATAAGAAATGGTTTTGGTGCCTCACCAGATAAAAGTGGACATAAAGGCTGGCAAAGAAAAGACTACATGGGGAAGCATTTCTCCTTAACAGTTCGGAAGCTGTTCTAAATCTCAGTGAAATTAATTGCAGAATAATTCCATTTTTCGATACCCCGTTAGAGTACACAGTTACTGCAGTTTGCAACTTCCCATTTTTTTCTCTTCCTTCATGGCACTTTGTTTTATATGTCACGTTGCTTTCATGATGGTCAGACTGAGCTTTTCTGTGTTGAAAAAAGCAATGGAAGATTCCTTTTCTGCCAGAAAAATATAACCAGATGAAAATTGTGCTAAAATTAGGAATTATTTTAATTATCAGATTTTAAATAAAGCTTGGCTTCCCTACATTATCCCGTTCTCAACATGAGCACAACATACCTGTTTCATATTATAAAAAATAGGTTAGTGTTTTTATTTATGGATTTTTTTTCTTCTGAAATATAGATCCCTTCCTTTCTGCTATTTGATAAACAAAAGCAGCATCAGGCAAAATTAAGGCTTATTCAAAATGGTGCCATAAGAATATTTAAATTTTGAAGGAGAAAAATTAGTTAGCTCCATTATCTTGAATTATGCAGGCTTCGCAAATATTTATTTGAATTGTTAATCTTTTCCTATTCAGTGACAATTGTGCAACAGCCATTAAACATCTAGGAGGCAAGGCCTCTTCTTCCCTCTTCAGAATCTAAAATTAAAGAACAAGATCTTATTGTCTTAAACTCTGACTATTAGAAAAGCAGGCACAGAAAAAAATTATGGGTAATATAATGTAATATGGAAAGAGATAAAATCCACATGTTCTTAAATATTCTTACATTTCAGACTAACAGCTCTATCTTTAAATAATGATTCCACCTACTGCAATTATTTGGTAAAATGCAAGACATTTTCTAATAAATTCATCAACTGATTTATTTTCGAAATCCTGGTAATTGTATTCATGAACGCTAATAACATTACTATTTTTCTAAGAGTATAAATTTAGTTTAAAAATGTAACTAGCAATTCACTGCATGATTTTTCTTCTAAATGAATTTTAGACAGGACAGAACTTTAACCATAGAAAGAATGAACAGCACATTTACTAGTAATTAGCATGTGCCTGGGACCTCTCAATTAAATTAGACATACACTAGTCTGTTCAGTTTCAAGTAAAAGGGAAGTGAAGGTTGATGCTCCTTATGAGACTAAAAAAATGTACTGGTGCGTTATTGAATAATAATGTATTATAGATTTCTTAAAACAACAACAAAAAATATTCATGGAATATTTTGATGTCCCTTTAAGCTTCAAATCAACTATGATCTTGGAAATCTCATAATCCATATTCTCCAAGCAAGAAACCTTGTCCCTCGAGACAACAATGGTTACTCAGACCCCTTTGTGAAAGTGTACCTTCTTCCTGGGAGAGGGTGAGTAAAGAAGCAGTGTCTTCTAAGTATCGCATCTCATGGATTAAAAAAAAAAATAGTGTTAGTGTTTCTAGTTTCCAATTTTAAAGAGTTTAATATCTATTCCTCAGTTTTATTTACATGTCATATTTATTTATTTCCAACTATTAGAGAAGGTGGAAATAAAAATTTGCAGTGAAGCATTCCTGGGGAGCCTTGATCATACTAAATCCTGTCTTGACGATACATGTCAGTCTTTTGAATCTAGAAACCACTATAACCAATCAGATGGACTGTGAAATCATTTAAGGAATTATTTGTGGCAGATTTAGAGCATTAGCTTTACCTTCCCAAATTCATTTGCAAAAACAGTGTTGAAGGACTCGTAAATTACTGTTTTATCTTGTAGGACATCTTTATCTAGCCTGTTACACGTTCATTAAGTGACTTATTGATGTCTCCTTATTTATATGTGTATTTTCAAATCACTGTTTTAAAAATTATAAAATAAGAGTAATATTTGAAGTGTTGAATATTAAAAAAAATATTTAATAAGTATGGTAAATATTTGGTAAATAAAAAATATCTCTGAATCTCGCGTGATATACAAACTTCATATAAAGCAAGTGCTCTTTGGAGATGTTTAATTTTCATATGATAAGTGCAAATTGCTATGTTCTGGTATATAAATCAGTACTCAGGGATGGTTTCAAAACAGTGATTTGGACCCAACGGATCATTATACCTTATCTAAATAACTTACAGTAGCCAAATTAGCATGATGGAACCAAAAGTAATCACAACTGTAGGTATAATAAAAAGAATTTGGGGCTGGTAATTTGAAGGCTCTGGTTTTATTTTTATTCATTTTTCATTTAACTTGAGGAGTGACATTTGAATATTACTTTTTCCTTGGAAATTTTGAATTGTTGCACGTGAGTAGAAAGAATAATGTAATGACCCACCACATACTCGTTACTCGGCTTCAACAATTATTTCCTAGCCAATCATGTCTCATTTTTACCCTCATATACTCCCTTTATACAGATTATTTTAAAATAGATCAAAAACTAATAATGTACTATATGTTGGCTAATTGAATTTAAATAAAATAATAGATCTCAACTCAATATCTTTTTTCTGCAAATATTTTACTATATATTTCTAAAAGTTAACTCATTTAAAACAATCATAATACCACATATAACCACTGTAATTTTAAAATGTTTAAATCATTCCTTAATTTCCCCAAATGCCTCATAATAATTTCCTATTTGGTTTGAAGACCTAATTGATATTTATAGAACATTCTTCCCATCAATAGCAGAATGCGTATTCTTTTCAAGTGCGCCCAAAACATTTGCCAAGATAAACTATATCATGGGCCATAAAACAAACCACAAAAAAATTTAAAAGCGCTGAAATCATACAAAGCATATTCCGTGACTATAGTTGGTTTGTTTGAACAGGATCCAAATTAGAGTTATATGTTACCTTTGAGTCTGCTGCTTGTTGACTAATTACATCACCACCAGCAGATCACCATTTCTTTTGAGATTAATTTTTCTTGTCAATATTGACAGAGCCAAGGAAACAGAGCCAATAGTTTTATCTGTCAAGAAATCAAATAATACTCAGAAAATAATCTGCAAATTTCCAGGCGTTATATCAAATTAAGTATACAGCCTTTAATTTTATCCTAATAATTTTACTTAGAAATTTAGAATTGCTGGTTTTGTGATTCTAGTTTTAATTTGTTGAATTTAATTTATAGGGGTCACCAGTAGAGCACAGGAGAGGGGAGTTTTCATTTTATGTTCATTTAAATCTTTAGTAGTTACAACTGCAATTTGGCTACCTTTTTTAAATATGAGTATAACTACAACAAACTGATAACTTCATTCTGCCTTTGATTGGGTCATTAGACCTTCCGTGTTATTTAATGACAATATTATGGGACAAGAGGTAATCACTGCCAAGGATATATCCCAAATTAGCATTTGCTAATGAATGAATGAAAATAAAGCAGTGTCTTTTACTTTCTCTCTTCTCTAATAATATCCTGGAGAATATCACCTTTTGTACTATATGAGAGTGCCTATCTTTTATTTATTACAGGATATGTTTCATTAGACTATTACATACTTGAATAACCCGAAAGGGCAGGCAGATAACATGAATATGTCAGTCATTCTGGGGTGAGTAACAGGGAAGGAGGGAACTATAGTGAAATAAAGAGTGGGTTTCCCACCTGAAGCCATCTCTACATATTTTGTCCGACAAAACATGCCTGCTGGGTGGGATTTGCCCCAGAGGGAGCTAATCAACTACCCCTATTCAATTCATAAACCTTTCCTTAAATTATTCCTACGGTTTACAGTGGCCAAGGCGTTTGGCTGTTATATGGCTTAGAGCTGTTATTTTCACTGTAGCTCTAAGTCTCTTTTCTGCCTCATGTTATTTATATGTCACGGTGTACCTCCTCCCGTTATTATTCTCGTATTTCCTTCCTTATTTCTGTTCCTAACTTTTTTCTTCCTGTCTTTCCGACTTGCCTGTTGTATCCTTCACTCTCGCTCTCGGAATCAATGCAGTCAAGTCATGGTTGTCCAGAATGCAAGGTAGAGTTGGTTCTCTTTCAGTGTCAAGCTACGCTGTAATGTCTAGAGTTTTATTTTTTGCCTATTTGTGTACATTCACCTGCAGTTTGACTTGACAAAGATGTAATTTGCTTCTTTTTACGTGTTGGTATCTATTGAATTAGGCTACCAGCAAATTGTTCTGATTACATTACCGAACAGGTTTGGCATATGTGTGCCGTAGAACGTTGAAAAGTAGAAAATATTAAAAACAGAAAAATATGAAAAAGGAAACACCACCCTGAAATTAGATGTAACTGGTTTTCATATGTAATTTGTCCACTAAAATTCATTTAGCTTCTCATGTGATAACCATGGCTTAAGTTCTCCTGGGTCTTCTATTACAAATAAAAATAAAATCTAGAGTCATTTTTCACAAAAATTAACTGACCTTCCAGATTCACTGGGCATGAATCTCATCCTAAACACCGTAGCTCTTGAGTCTTTTTCCTTTAGTTAGACCTGATATTGAAACATTTCCATGCCTTTATACCTTCTGCACCACAAAGGCATTGCCATGCAATAGGATGCCGTAGTCGGCCTTCTCTAGCACACTGGCAACAACATAAGAGCATCCTCCTTTCTGTGCCATTAGTAGGAAACTGTTTTCTAATAGAGCTCATAATGTGGTACATCATCCCATGGTCATCTAAGGGTATCTTTTAGATACATAACTAAGAGCATGCTTTTGCACATCTCATTACATTATATATTAAATGCATTGGTTGGTTGGGGAGGTGAATCTTGCACCATCTGTAGCAATGGGTGATGGGAATTTTAATGCCACCCAGAATATTAATGGTACAGGATTTGTTTTTGTCTGCAACATTAAAATTTGACATCTTTAGTAATCCTGACAAGCTGATGCCCAAAAGAGGTTGTTTCTGCTTTGAAAGGCATAGATATTTAAATATTGTAAGGACTAGGATTAGTCACCACACCCTTTCTAGTGGCCAGAAAGGTTGTGTTTCCTTGCACACATAACCATGGTAAATTTGATACTGTGACAGATTGCTTGATATGACATCCTTCTCAGGACAGCATCCAGATCTCTCATCCAGATTGGTCTCAGACCGAAATGCAAAATTATTCAGTTGAAAGAGACAGTGTCATTTTAAAGCTTTTTTTTTTTTTTAAGATTTTATTTATTTATTTGACAGAGAGAGAGAGAGAGATCACAAGTAGGCAGACAGGCAGGCAGAGGGAGAGGGAGAAGCAGGCTCCCTGCTGAGCACAGAGCCCGATGTGGGGCTCGATCCCAGGACCCTGGGATCATGACCTGAGCCGAAGGCAGACGCCTAACCATATGAGCCACCCAGGCATCCCGAGATAGTGTCATTTTAGAACAGACATTATCAGTCACTTTATTCAGAACCTTCCTATCCTTTACCTAGAGAAACTGAGGGGAAATTGTCAGAATGACAATAATTATCAGTATTTAATTTAGAAGAGAGCATGTTTTGTAAACATAAATAATGCTTGAAACAGTCTGGGGTGTGCTGGTTACAATTTCAAAGATCTAGAAGTCACTTTCTCATCCTATGTTTCATCTAGAGGTCACTTCCATCATCTCTTTGAGAACTGTCAATGCAAGAAGGAACAATAATGACAAGGTACTGACATTTTAATTTTGGCTGAGGAGGCCAGTGAATAAAGTCCTAAAGAGCTTGGGTTTGGATTTCAGCCCTGCCTCTTAGAAGTTGTGAGGTTTCTCTGAAACGACTTCCTCTTCTGCTAAATAATAATAATAACTCCCCTCCCAGGTTTTTTGTAAAACACAGAGTAATACACCAAAAGTGATAAGCGTAATGTCTGACACGTAATAGGCTCTCAATAAATGGTGCTTGGTATTATTGTCAGTATTACGTACAATTACACTCTCTTAGGGCATACCACTTAGAATTTCCCAAAGCAACTATAAAATTGGCCTAAAATTGTTGTGATATGTGTATATATACAAATATATATAATTTATATACAGGAAATATATATATACATTTAAATTGAGGTGAAGAACTTTAGATTGCAGGGTAGAGTATAGGGAAGACAACCTAGACACTTCAGCTTATGAAGCCTGCAATTAAGAAAGTTGATGGATTATTCTTATTTTATGATTGGCTATATCAGGTCGCCAGTGGTCAGTTATTCCTACAAAAAAGTGATGCGGAATGCTTGAGCTACAGAATTATACAAAAGCATTTAACGGTATATAGGAAACCAAACAACTTTGTTTTCTTCGATCATAAAATGTACCACACTTGTCATTCTTAAAATTAAAAAAAAAAAGAAAGAAAGAAAGTCCTGTTCACTGATAAGAATTTCACTGGTCCAATTTTCTCATCTCTCATTTCCTCTTCCCACCCTCGGATCAATATACTCAGAAGCTCTGAAAGCCCAGCTGTCAGCCCTGAGATGAAAGGAAACAGGAAAGAGCCTATAAAGAGTGCATGAACTCAATACTTGTCCCTGGCTAACTAAGAAATGGAAATGAGCATATCTGAAGGATCTCATTCTGGTTTTCTCTCATTACACTGTTTGACAAAGTGCAGGCTTTTTGCCACGAATGAGATTTTGCTCTGACTGAAGCTGATTTTCACTATCATGATACCTGGAAGTTCAGTTCCAGCGTGGACTTTCTCTAAACCGCCTTGTTAGCATATCAGACTATTCCCTCCAGGACCTCTATAAAGCAGGTACAGGTGTTGCATGCATTTACAATTCAAAGGCCAGAGCTTGTTTCATTTCAATAGATTTTAAGGGGAAAAAAATAGAAGTATATTTTAAGGACCCAATGCAATAAACATCTCTTTAGCACAAACTGTTCCAAACACTGTGTGAGGTGCTGAGGGTAGAACTGACAAATGGCCACATAGGCTCTGACTTCAGGGAGCACAGACAATCAAGTGATGTGCCAAAAACACACTACTGCACAGAAGAATAGGGCTTACAAAACGGGATATTATCTGAGCTGCTTTCTAAATTAAAGGAAAATCCTTAGAAGAATAATTAAAAATAAATTGTGCGTGTGTGTGTGTGTGTGTATAATTTCCAATAAAGGAAAACCAAATAAAACAAGAGAAATGAAAACCTTCAATATTTTAGATAATTCTATGAAAGCAAAATACAAAGACGTCATCATATTCCATTCATTCATCTTTCTTATTTTTTTTTGAAATTAAAAAGAGAAACTCAGAAAACTCTTTTTCTGCTAATATAGGGGAGAATAATTGAATTTCAAGTATCTTTTTCTGTCTGTCTTAAAAGTATTATCTACTTATGAGAACGTAACTGGTCAATAATTTAAAAAATGAAAGAGAAAAGAAGTTAGTCAAAACTTCAAGGAAATGAGGGTTAATTTTTTTATTAGCACCGTGCCCCATCTTGATTAATTGACTTTTTATTTTCCCTTCTTAAAAAACTTCTCTGATTATTAGATACGGCCTAATTGTCCTACTATAATATCATTATTGCGATTTTCCCGTGAGGGAATATAGTGTGTTTTCCAGACAAAGAAGGGAAAGGAAAATGAACTCTACTTTTTTCTCAACCTAATTTATGCTCACATTTAAGAATCCCACTGCTAACCTGCTCATCTTCAACTTGTCAGTCCAGATTTTGATGTGGTTGTGAGAAGTGCTGAGTTTTCAATTTTGTAAAGTGGCAGCACAGCCCATTGGGATCATGCTCAAGATGGTCAGTTCGTGGTAGTTATAAAGCAAGTGTTATTGAAGGAATGGCTTTGTGCGATCATCTCTGCATAACATTCAAGTCCAAAAAAAAAAAAAAAAACTGCACAGGATTGCATTATCATTTACACAGTTCCACCAGAAATAGTGGAGGCAAGTTGTGAATTCCTACATTAATCCAGACCTTGAGTCTGGAGAGAATTGAAGAATCAAACTCACTAATAACCTAAAATTCCCCCCAACTGTGGTTATTTCTGAGCGGATCTGGGCAAGAATAAATATTTGTAGTGATTATCCTTCATTCCACAACACTCTTTTAGGATATACTAGTCAGAATTTCCCTAAACAACTCTAACGCTGGCCTAATTTTTTATGATATGTGTATATATACACACATATTGTATGTAATTTCTATTACACATATAGGAGAGCAACCAGTTTCCCTATGTTTGAATCATGGTCCTACCAGTTAATAACTATGCAGCCTTTCCAACATACCTTAATTCTACTGAGCTTCATTTTTTTCCATCCAGTCTCATAGAATTGCCATGAGGATTAAATGAGTTAACACATAAGAAGCTTTTAGAACTCTGCTTGGGAAAAACTAAGCTTTTAATGAATGTTAGCTATTTTTATTTTAATGTGCTTACTTTATAAATTGCTTTTTCATACATGAATTAAGAACTTTTGCTAAATGTAAAAGTGAAAAAAATGACAAAATATGCAGGTGAAAAATTATAGTAACAATTATTCATAGATTCAGAAAAGATGATGAATAATGAATTCTTTGGAAGACATTTAAATATTACAGACTATTTTCATATATATTGACATATCTAGGATTTTAGTGAAGTACTTGAGTTTGCATTTGACATTAATTACCATCTTTTTAAAAAGTTATGCATTTAATTTTTCAGCATTGGAAAAAAATAATTTACTACTATTCCAGTGTATTATGAATCTTATCCTTATGTTTCCTCACGATCTCATTACCTTAGTAACAAAGGCCAAAACAAATAGAAGCCTTAAAACTTACACTGCCATGCGTTTTTCTTCTAAGTATACCTGCCTAGAAAAGTAGCCATGAATTCTAAAGGAGTAACCAAGGCTTGCTATTATCTTGAAAATGGTCACATCCATTCTTCCTATGTCATCATAAAAAAAATCAAAAACATAAGCTATAAAGGAACATAGTTTACCAAAGTTATTTTGAATTTGTATTGTAAAATATTTCAAAAATCACTGAAAATTATAGAAAATAACAAATACCTGTGTTCTTGCCATTTAGTTCCATCAAATTTTAATATTTTGCTATCTAGGCTTCATTTTTTTAATTAAAAATATTTTATAAGTACCCTCTGAAGCCCTCTGAAACCATTCCCCTGTCCACCTGAGATAACCACAAAATAGAATTTATTACCTATAATTCCCAAACTGTGTTACGATATTTTTATATGTTTATTTTATATCCATGTATTCATAAACAGTTTACTGTATTATTTCATAGGATTTTAATTTTAAATCACGATAACTATAGTTATCCTTCTGTACATTTTTTGCTCAACTTTTTTCAAGATTTATCCATCTTAATATATGGAAGTGTATATTTATTTTAACTGCTGCTTACTATTTCACTGAAAGAATATATCATAATGTATTTATATATTATCTTATTAACTTGCTATAGAAACAATGTTACGATGAATGTTCTTGAACACATTCCTTGTGCACAGGTGGGAAAACTGTAAGGTGGAAGAAGACAAAGTAGAATTGTCTAGGTTATTTGGGTCCATAAACTTAAACTTCACCAGTTTCATCTAAAATTCATCTAAAAACTGTGTACAAATTTATACTGTCTATAGTCTATGAGAATTCCTGTTTCTTTAAATCCTCACATATGCATTTCCTCCAAATTTTTTGCAATTTGTCTTGAATGAAAAAATGGTCAAATCCTGCTCTTATTTTTACACAAATGAGTTGGTTAGAAGTGATGAGAGCGATGCTCTATTTCTTAAATTGGATTCAATTCACAATGGCTGACACATGGGGCCTTGGCAAACGTAAGTTCAGTGGTTTCCAATCTGCACCTTAGACTTACCTGGGAGATTTAAAAAAATTCTGATACTCAAACCTCACCCCAGACCTACTAAATCAGGATCTCCTTGGAGGTGCAGAGCAGAGAAATATGGATGCAGCGCTGGGCCCTACTTGGTAGCCTCAGAACTCAGATTCCTAGGTGATCCCAATATGCAGTCAATGTTGGGAATTAATGCTGTTGCGTGTGGCTGATAAGAAAGAGAATAAAGCTGAAGAGAGAAGACATTCTAAAAGTGAGTGGTGAACTAGAGCTTGATTCTCAGTAGCTCTATCTAGAACGGATAGAGTAAATTAGTGCTTGGGAAACAGTAGGAGGCATTCCAGGATGTGGCAGTGCTAGAGACCAGGAACTAGCAAGTGAGTCAGCCCATAGTTAGGAATAGAACAACAAATCAAGGGTCAGGATCCTGTCCCTTTAGAAAAGACAACGTGTAAAATCAGAGCACATGAAAGAACTCCAGATGAGTAGGTTGATTTTCAGGACTCTGCTGCCCACTGGAGCTGAAGTATTATCTAGGAGCTCAGCTACAAGGTTAGGCAGAAAATTCGGGAAAAAGGCAGTGAGGATTGGATGAAGACCTCATCTGTGTGGGTAACATTGGCTAATAGCAAACAACAATAATTCCAACCCCATCAGCCGGTTGATGTCAGTTATAGATGTTCTGTTTGTCTTAATTAGAATAGGTTTGGGATATAAACTTCTAACTGTTGCTCAGAGGGAATGGAAAAATCAAGGAAAAATTCAAATGCCCCAAGTTATAAGGAATGAGGAACTATTTTGATCTGGTTTATAATGATTTATCTGGGCTATTGACATAAACTAAGAATTTATATTTAATTGCTTTATAACTAAATATCCTACTTTACTAAGAGTGTCAAAATATACTTTAAATACAAGGTAACAAAAGTTCATGGAATTTCAGCTATAGCAACAAACATTTCTCATCCTTTCCTCAGTCAAAACAATTATTATAATTTTAAATAGAAAAAAAAAAAGAAAGACCATTTGGCTTTGTGGACACGATTAGAAGTAAAACTATTGGAAAGTGAAATACCAAATTATTATTTAAGGGAAATACTTAAATTATTATTGATGTTACCATATAGTTCATGCAGTTGTCTCCTGCATTCAGGAAAGAGAAAGGTTCTAAAATTATGGTATAGTTAGAACACCTAAAAGCTTTTCTTTAAAAACTACTTTAGAGCAAATAAAACTAAAGGCATCCAACGTATTTTTAAATTGTCATTTTGTATTCAACTTAAAGTAAGGTTTTAGACAGGAAGGTGATGGGATGATTGCATAATGATTTAAAACAAAATATCATCTTAAAATGTCTGCATGCCCTTCCAGCTGACTATGAAGTCATCAGTTAAAGTGAATAATCAAGATAACTCTTTTTTTTTCTTCTAATTCAGTGCTGAGTACAAGAGGAGGACTAAATATGTTCAAAAAAGTCTTAATCCTGAGTGGAATCAAACAGTAATTTATAAAAGTATCTCCATGGAACAGGTATGCAATGATTAATTTTCTATGTGAGAGTTTTCGGCTAATATTAGAAATCCGATGACAAAATTATTGCAAGACTGTGGTCTATCAATTTTGCCACACAAACAAAAAGAAATGAGTAAAATACAAATAATAAATGTAGCCAGTGAAAGGAAATGGATACAGTGCAAAGTTACCATGAGTGTAAATGTGTGCATTTTGACAAAGCAGCCAAAAAATAAATAAGACCAATGGAACATTTGCCGTCAATTATTGCAAAATCTTAATATTTCAACAGCCTGGGCCACATTTATCATATTTTAAGGGAAAATATTTTCCAACTGGCCATATACTTTTTATAAATTTTGGTCAATCACTTTCATTTTTTTCCAGTTTTACTGAGAAAATTGACATAATACATTGTATAAGTTTATGGTATACACCATAATGATTTGATATGTATATATTGCAAAAATAATAGGTGGCTGTATTTTGACTTTCACAAACAATACAAAGAAAATATTCAGTGTATATGAATGTGTTATTGCTCCAGGCAACATTTTAGGAATTCATCTCTTCTCTAAATCGAGGCCTCTTAAGAACCTGGCGTTGTGGGGCTAAATTGTACAGACCAAGACATACAGATGACTAGCCTAAAGGATTTTAAAGGAGATTTATGATTTGTCCTCTGGAAGATTTCTAATTTGATTATGAAGTTGAAGCTGGGTACAAATTGTAATCTGGGTTCTTGAATTTAAAATAAGTTAAATTTACCTGCAGAAATTAGAGAATGCTACTATATTTTTTGGTGATTTACTAAAACCAAAAAACTCCAATCTAAATATTTTATCCAAATAACCTAGACAGTTTTTCATCCTTTAAATTCCATGTATTTAAAGAGCATTTATAGATTCTACTTTTTTTTTTTTATAAAAATCGAGAGTGGGGGCTTAGAATAACAGGGAATTAGTAAAAGTTTGAGGTCTCATGAACAAACAGTACGTTGGACTATAAAATCATTGATATTTTATATAATATTTGATATAAACCTACATTTTAGATAAAATCTGAAGACTTTTTACACAAATGGAAAGAGTTCAAGGAAGTGAAAATAAATGAATCTATAATAGAGTGTGATGAAAATTTGTGGGGTTAATAACATTTTGATTTAAACTATAGCTCAAGAAGAAAACACTGGAGGTGACAGTCTGGGATTATGATAGATTTTCTTCCAATGACTTTCTTGGTGAGGTGAGCATCTGATTTCCTTTTCTTCATTTGCTTTCATTATAAACCACCAATTAAAATTTATTGATACAAGCATATTTCTTAAGTTTAATCATTTTGGTTAAAGATAATCATTTTGGTTAAAACCCCTTGGTGGATAGGATATATTTCCTGATTTATTCTTTGACTGGATGAATAGTAATTTGAGAAATGGTTTTCACTCTATCATTTGATGTACTTTATAACTAATTTGTAGATGAATTATTGTTTTGCTGGTAGATATATAATCATGCTGTGAATCCAAATTTGAGATAAATTATTATAAAATGAGCTAGATTTTTAAAATGCATTTTCAGGTATTTAATTGCTCTTCTTCACTGCATCTATCAATGACTTGATATGGCATTCTGCATTGTTTATTTCTTTTAAGTATCCCATGAAAAATCTCTCAAAATATTTTACGAGGCAAAATAGAAGTAGGAGAAAACAATAAAAATCAGTTTTATATAAGTTCACATGGAATCTACCCTAATCATGAAATCTGGCAGAGTCAGATCCTGTTTTTTTTTTTAATCTATAGTATTTCAAAAAATATATTTAGTAATCTTTACTTAAAGCAGAAGTTATGAATTAATGTTAAAAAATAAATCCTCTCCAAAAATAAAATAACACCTAGACAATATGATGTCCCTTCCCAGAAACAATAGAAAACAGTTGTTTAGTCTAGGTGACACGAGACCTTGTTTGGTTCCAAGACTCCACACTTTTCTTTACTATCAAAATTAGGCCATTTGACCTTTACTTGCAGGCTCCATGCTGGTACAGTCCCTGGGACTAATCTTGATCTTTGGACAGTTCTAGAATGCAGTATTCTATCAGACTTAATGTCTCATTTCAGAAAACTGATTTATTATAGTCCTTGTAATTTATTGTTGACATGAACCTAGAGCATATATCCATTGTGTTGGTTCTCATTTTTTTTATTTCTCATCAAATTTAAAAATGCCAGCAATTGTAAAATGGGATATTACTCATGAACCACTAAGAAAGAAAAAAATGCTGCCAGTCAAACCATGATACAGTGCTTTCTCATCATAAATTGTTAGTCATATCCCTATTTCAAATATGAGTTAAAGTATGTTTTAAAATACAGGGAATTAGTAATTGCAAATTACCCATTCTTTTTTAGTTTGTCCCTCTCCTAACTAAAAGCAATCTTTAAAAATGATATCCGAGTTTAAAAAAAAAAGATATCCAAGTTTAGTACTAAAATGTGTTCATTTAGTAAAAGAGAGCTTTCATTCATAAAGAGATTGAGTTGTGACTACCTTTTCACATCATCTCCAAATAATTTATAGTCGAAGATCTTATGCAGTTCAGTTTAATCAAATGTTCATTTTAAAATATATATATATTTATTTTAGAGAGAGAGTACACAGTGGGGAGGGGCAATGGGAGAGCAGAGCAGAGCCCAATGTGGGGCTCGATCTCACAACCCTGAGATCATGACCTGAGCCAAAACCAAGAGTCTGATGCCCAACCAACTACACCACCCAGGTGCCCCTAATCAAATGTTTATTAAGCATCTAATATGCACAAGATGTTGTTCCCAATGTCATGGGTAAAGAAAAATGAGGAGGACAGCCTTGTCATCCTCAAAGTCATACTATGTCTTTTGGCTTATATCCTTGAGTAAATTTCAGATCACAGATAAAAGTAATGGATGAATTATATCAATTTCATTGACTTACTGCATTTTTTCAGGTATTGATTGATTTATCTAGCACATCTCATCTCGATAACACTCCAAGATGGTATTCTCTCAAAGAACAGACTGAAAGTATTGATCATGGCAAGGCTCATTCCAGCCAGGGCAGCCAACAGTCTCCAAAACCATCTGTCATCAAAAGCAGAAGCCATGGTATCTTCCCTGACCCATCCAAGGGTAGGAGATATTTCAAGTAGAAAAAGCTTTTTTCTATTTGTTCACTCAGTAACTTCTTGAATATGAGTGCCTGTGTATTTAATATATTTTACAATGTTGGATTCTATTGGAAAGTATGTAATATAATATCCTGCAAACAGTAATGGATATGGAATCAGGAAAAATGGGCTTTAGTTTCAGATCAGCGCATTATCAGGTTTATGACTTCATGATCTTCACCTCTTCGACTCTGGTTTTCAACCAGTACAACGGAGGGAGTTGGGCTGTATGAGCTGTTGGATTATTTCCAGCTCTCAAAATCCATGATAATACGATTTTATCAAATATGTTGGGGTATTTCATAAAGAAAAATAAGAATCCTCAACAGTCCATTGACTAGACATACTCATCATTACCATTTATGCATATTTCTTCTCATTGTTTAAACCCCTATTTTTCATAGGTATATTCTTACTCATATATTATATATGTAATATATGAGCATATATAATTTTGCATCCTGCTTTTTACTTACCATACCAAGAACATTTTCCCTATGTCACCAAAACAACTGGTGTGTTGAAATTTACCTAAATCTTTCCTAAATGTTGGCCTCGAGCTAATGCTATGATTTTTTTAAACCACTATCATTATTTTTGAAATGGTAATGTTATACATTGGGTTTGGCAATATGCACAGCATTCCCATTTGAATGGGCTTTTCCTTTGAGAGGTTCATTGCCGATTATCCTACCACACAACATCAATCTTCACCATAAACCGAGTTACTGCCTAGATGAGATAACCATGTAGTATTTTACCTAGGCACACTGAACTATTTTTAAGTGTCAACTCTAAATGTTTATACTGGACCTGAGTATTGCTCCCTTCTCTCCTCAGAAAGTACATCAAATTGAAAAGTGCTTCTTTGCACATTAGAAAGGAATGGGTCACAGGTGCAAGTGTTCTCGGAGATGGAAAACCACGAGGCCGAGTCCAGTAGGCCACTGAGTTGATATGACAAACCACGGGCTACCATGAGGGCTACAGATGACTTGTGAATGAGCTTTATAGATCATTTATGGATCCCACTTGGCCAGATCAACTCTGCCCTGATTAACTTCCTGGAAGATCATTAGCATAAAGACCTCTCTCTCTGTCTCTCTCTCTCTCTGATGGCCATAGTAAATGTGGGATCTCTATATACATTCTCTGAAATCCCCTGAGACACGATTCTCCAGTCTCCACTGTTAATGTGTCCTGGTGACGCACACCCCTCCATCCGGGCATTCCCTGCATTTTCACTGGAAACTCCTCTGTGGCCGTGGGAGCCTCTTGTCTCTTGCCTGGTCCCTCCTAGAATTAGCAGTTGCTTGGCGATACGGAAAGTTAACATACGCATTTCCATGAGGCTAGTTAGATGTGTGTCCTCTTCTCAGACTTCTGTCTTCTCGACATGATTATCCTTTTGACGTTCCTCCCCACAACTGTTCCCCCAACGTTTAATCACATCGCCGAGTGACAAGCAGTTGCATAAATGAGCCCAAAAGGAAACAGAATTAACATAAATCTTAGTCTCAAATTATGTGAGACCAAGCTTGCCAGGGGGAACGCTGGAGCGCTGTTAACTCACGTCTCACCCTCTTGTAACCAGACATGCAGGTTCCCACCATTGAGAAATCCCACAGTAGTCCCGGTAGCTCGAAATCCTCCTCCGAAGGCCACCTGCGCTCTCACGGACCGTCGCGCAGTCAGAGCAAAACCAGCGTCACCCAGAGCCACCTGGAAGATGCAGGGGCTGCCATAGCTGCTGCCGAAGCGACAGTGCAGCAGCTCCGCCTGCAACCAAGTAAAAGACGCAAATAAATTCCTCAGCATGGCAGCTTAGTGTTCATCTGTCGCCTCTCTCTCCTGCTGTCCTTCCCCGTTCGCTTTCCGTGTTCTGGCAGACCCTGCTCCCTCCATCCTCTGTCCCTCTGTCCGTGTCACAACAGTACCAAGACATAAATCTGCTCTTTCTTACTTCGATTTTTCGTTTCGTTTATTTATTTACGTGGACGGCAATAAAACTGGCTGTTTCCCCTCTGTCTCCGCCATCCCTCCAACCTGGCTCATAGTATTTGGTGGCTGTGTCTGTGACATTTGCAGGCAAAGCAGTGTCGTGTGTCCTTTTCGTGTGCGCTTAAATATCCTTGAGAATCTGGGAATTATGAGCACAAGTGGCTGCCAGTTTTCCAGGCGTTACACCAAAAAAAAAAAAAAAAGCACACACACAAGCATTTAGAGCAGATTAGAGATGAGATTCTTGCATCTGAAAACACTCAAAAATTGTCGGGCAGAAGAGTAATGCGACCAACAGTCGAATTCTCCAGCCGAGGGGGGCGGGGGGGAGAAGGCCACTTCAAGCTTAGAAACCTTAATGAATTATGCATGTGAAATGTTGTAGCTTTCCATGTGGGAAACTTTCTAGTCTTTTAGTGGAAAAAAAAATCTGTGAAGAAAATCATGTCTTATATTTTCCAAAAAGTACATAATATTAATTATATGTGTAGACATATGTGATGAGGCCATGTCCCCTCATTAAGGAGCACAGTCGGGTCCATTCTGTTGGATCACACTTTGTATATGATATCAGAGAATTTATAGGCTATTTTCTTTTCTAACCACTGGAAGTCCTTATACAGGCAAGAGGCCGATTAAAGAATCACAACTCACCCATCTTAATTGCTGTATTTTCATTTAATTTGCGAAAATGTAGTCAGTCGATATGGAAAAACTGAACGAGTGCAGAGATCTTACAAACGGAGCTGCCCTTTTGCTTCCAAGCAGCCTTAGCCAGATCGTGGAGAGAGATCGATGTTATCCCCATCTCCCCAAGTCTTCATTTCCCGAGAAACAGCCAGTTTTAAGCCCTCTAGTGCTGTGCATGTGGTGTCGTTTTGGCATTTGAAAACACAGCCTCTTGAGATGGAGCAAAAGATCACTTCTGTTTGCATGAGTGACATTGAAGCTGGTTCCATCCGAGGATATGTACTCTGGGTTTCCATTCCACCCACACTGCCTCAGCAGCACATAAAAGCGGTCAGTCTAATCATGCCAGGAAGCAGCACAGACACAGCATAGCGGGCGTCCTCCCCATTCAGAGAACTCAGTCTGATAATCTGCCTCCACCAGCCAATGGCAACCAAGACCAAAGCCAGCTAGCCCTCAGGAAGGTGGTGTCTGATGGACCAGTCAAGCCAGAAGGAGGTGAGCAGAAAGGCGCTATGCAAAGCACACAGCAAGAACATCCCCCACATTTAAAGCCCTCATCTTTTAATTTTTTAGAGATTGTCTGATCAAATCTGTTTATCCACTTTTTGATGTGCTTTTGTGGGCATGGCATTTCAGGACTTCATCATCACTGTGTAAGTCCCCAAATCAGTCCCATAATATATGACTACAGTGATTTGTATTTTTCTATGCACTGGGCATCTTTTGACTTCTGTTGGGAACTAGATTAACAATATTCATATTGCAGAATGGAATGCATGCTACTAACCTAATCTGTTCAAGCATGACTATAAATATGTTGCATTGTGATAAAAGTTTAAACTGCTCAAAATTCAAATTAGCATACCAGTTGGAATGTAGATCAGTTTTTGTTGCATATTATTTCAAGTGTAACTTTTTAAAACTTCAGTGGATTCTGGAAATCCTTAGAGGAAAGTAAGGGGAAAATTGTTAATGCACTAATTCACCTTTACATGGTGAAAGTTCTCTCTTGATCCTACAAACAGACATTTTCCACTCATGTTTCCATAGCTGTTAAGTGTATCAGATGTGTTGGGCATGTGAATATCCAAGTGCCTGTGTAATAAATAAAGTATCTTTATTTCATTCATAAACTACTGGGTTCTGAGCCATTGTTATATGATGCAGCTTAAAATGAGTGTGTCAGTTTTTGCTTTCTCATTTGATTCCTTGCAATAGAGTATGGCTAGTTACTGTTCCATTGCTAGTGAGACCTCTATGATAGAACATTTTGGGAGTGGAACCAAGTTTGATGTTGAAACATCATTAGCTAGATGGAAAATTATGACCAAATGAAAGCACCAAGCGTACATAAACATGTGAGGGTGAATTGGGGTTGGGCTCTTCTAGGCAATACGTCCACAGTTTCTGGCTCCCACATCTGATCTACTCCACAGTCTTCTTGGGTTCCTGGATAGAGGAGGACAAATCCCCTGAGCCCTGGCTTTGGAGGTGCATCTAAACTTGATTCCGTAGCCGTGTTCAGAAAGGAAAACAAGTTTGTATCCATCCCTAGCCAGACCCCAACACTCCTGGAGTTTTCCCCAAAGAAAAGAGTATCACCACCAGTGATAGGAATCAAACGAGGGTGATTATAAAATTATCTTCAGATTTAATTCAAAAACACTTATAAAATAAAGGGTTTTAAAAAAATAGGTTAAAAAAAATTGGATAGCGGTACCCCCTTAAGTCCCTTCCAACCCGAAAATATTTGATTTTACGATTCTCTACTTGTCCCCAAATTAAAATCAAGCTTTATACTTTCCTGTTGTATTTCCCTTAATTCTCCAAAAACTACCATTTTTAATACGTTCTTGTCCCAACAAATCAGATATTTAGGGGCAGTGGAAAATGTATGTGGCATAAAGCACAGTGATGTTTTCTGAATTAGCCAGGTAATTATCCCCTGTGCATGGATTCCGTTTTCTAATTAGCTTACTGTTACTTCCCAAAAGTACTTAAAGTCCCTCCTCTTACCTTTTTCTCTATCAAATGAGCAGTTGGTTTCTTACAGTTACTCATTTTCTTACTTCAAGTATTCCATAATGATGTCACAGTAATGAAATGCTTCCCTATCTCACTCTATGTTAAATTATCATGATTTCAGTATTACTATGTAATATTTTGACTGATTTTTTTTGACGTGGTTCTTAAAATTCATAGCAAAATATGTTTAATTCCCTTTCTTTGCGTAATGCTGTAATGGATATTCTCATCCATGTAAGGTGCTGTGACTGAATCCTGGAGCCATTCTCTATTGAAATCAAGATAACATAACCTGCTTTCTTGTTTAATTTGGTACTGAAGATAAAATGCCGCTTTCTAAAACATAATTATTTCCCTGCTACTGTAAATGTACCAAGAATATAATTCATCCATGCATTTTGCCAATTAAGAGTAAACATGCTATAGGATTAAATTTATATAAAATGCTGTAGAATTAGTTTAAAGCGTAGAAAAATTGGTATGAGATGGAAACATACAAAGAGCCAACAAGTTCTCATTCACTAACTGCATAAATAAGTATTATTATTAATTTTAAGTGTTTAGATAAAAGCCTTCCATTTCAAACCTCACAATGGAGTTCACACAGTCCCATCTGCATTCTGATGATAATGCCCTTCATTTGAACAGTTCTTCACATTGTATCGAGTGTTCTGTCACCCATCTTCTCATTTATCACACTGGTAAAGGAGGTCTTCATGGCAGATATTCTTATCCCTGTTTTCTGAGTGAGCAATCAGAGAGAGGGCTGGGATGATGGATAGAATACACAGAAATTTCTAGAATCGGCAACCGTACCCTTGTTCTAGGCCTAAACCTTTGATTCCTAAATACGTTGGCTCCTCTGAAATCAAACTCTTCTGAATTCAGTAAAAACAATTGTCATTTACATACTTGTTATTTGTCACTTAAGTTCTTACAAATGATGAGAGGTTGCTAGAAATGATGGCAGAATACAATTTAGACTTGCTCTCCCTACATGATCCTTTTTTCTGAAGGCTGAAAATTAAGCTGCCACAAACCCAAGGAAATGAATCCCTCTCATGCATGAACCCAGTGTGGCAGTAAGCAGAGTCTGTAGAGACCGTGTGTACATCTGTAGTCATTTCTATCAAGGGTGACAAAATTGTCCCTAAAGAGCCTTTCGAATGTTTCTTTGTGAACTTCTCAGCAGATTTCTGCCTGAAGTAGCAAAAATACGGGTCAAGCAAGAATTATGGAGTGAACCAGAAAGAACTTTCTCTCTCCCCCCCGGGGTTTAGTTGCACGCTAGAAACCGTGAAAAGAAAGATTAGACAGATTGTGCCAGATAATCCTGATGCCTAAACAACTCTTTTGTATTTAGAAATCCCTGGAAATGATTTTGTTCCAAGCCAGTTGGTTTGACTGAACACAGGCTCCACCATTTTAGAAGGTGACAGCAACCAGAGAGGAGAGTTTAAAAAATAGTTATTTTTTTTAAACCATACTCAAACTGAATCAGATTGAAGCGTTCTTTAAACCTTAGTTGACATCCACTATTTTATATTGTAAGTGCATTTTGAAATTCCTGAGTTATTCTTGTTTGATACTAAGATTTTATGTGAATTTTAAAATTAGGAACAGTAACAGAGGCTGAGGAGAAATGTCCCTCCACCCTGGGAAATGAGATAAGAGCCATTGGAATGGGTTGGAGAGGATAGGAGAGCAGATGAACCATTGAATAAGTTGTGTGCAGGAATTATGATTAAGCATTCCTTGGAGTGGCCAAGTTGTAGGAGAAAAGCCTGAAGCTACTTCCACAGACCACTGCTGGAAACTCCACTTTCAATAAGGCTCATTTTCAGCACCTGTCACAGAAGAGTTTCATATCTGCAGGTTGTCGTGGTGAACTCTTACTAAGCCATCACTCTGTGGGAGCTGCTGTCTTGGGCAAGTGGTAGGGGGTGGCCGGGCTGGGAAGCGGGACGGGCACCGGGAGTAGAGGGTACTGTTGGTGACAAAGGGCGATAGGTAATCTGTGTCCCATTCTCTTCTGACTGGAAGTAGATGGTCACTTCTGGTCAGAAAGAATTTAGCGTTCTCTGTTTCTGGGAAGGAGAGGGTTCAAAAGGAAGTAAAGGAGAAATCAGAAGAGAAATCAAAGTGAGTTCATTTGGAGGTGAAGTCTTCCTGTCACGTATGTAAGAGGTTAATAAAAACAGATTTGCATTCCTCATTTCAATGTGTTCATGTAAAAATACAAACTTAAATAAAACTTTGGGTAGTTGAAAATGAAAAGAAAATTGAAACTGTAATGATCTGAACACAGTAAACATCCAACAAAGTCTGAGGGACTCAAATTGGATAATATCAGCTTTCAAAGTTCTGTGCCTGTTTTTCTGGGGACGAGGGTTTTCTTTGTTGTCTGTGAAGATCAAAATGCTCTTCTAAATTTTTTTTTAAGAGTTTCCGTATTTTCTTAAGAATGATTACGCATTTTAAAATATTTCTTTAGTCATTTAACATTTATTGCCAGGAATATCTCTGCTATACATGCAAAGTCACAGAGAGTAAATGTATATAGCTCTGACCATGTGACACTGTCTCTTGTTTATGGATGTTTATTCACAAAGGTGAATCCACCGATCTACTATCATGGGTACTTTTGTTCTTTTCCAGTAATAGCTGTGGGTCTGCACCAAGCCATCCACATGTCTGGTTCACACTGGGGATTTATATGTTCATTTCATCTGACATGAATAACAAGACCAACTGGTCTACCCAAGTATCTGAGCTTGGCTTCAATATGGCTGCACCTTAGTCAAACGATCTAGCTATGGGCCTGTATAATTGGATGTGACCATGAAGACATGATCTAATTTTAACATGGCAAAGTCCCTTCAAATGCTGCTTATGATACAGTTTTAGCAAAGTTCAACTTAATTTTTAAAATGCAAATTATTTGGGCTTGAAGAAATTATTTTTTAAAAAGTTACTTTATCAAATTACCACCAGGGAGCAGGACCCTGAGGAAATGAGACAGGCAAGTAAATGCTGATGGAGGAAAGAAATGAGAAGCATGGAGCATGAGAAGGCTGATGGGGACACAGTGCGGGACCCTGGACAAAAGGCACAATATGAGCATGGGGCTGGGAATGTGATCGCTTGGGTAGGCGGGATCATGGACCTGGGGGAAACACTACCTAAGGAGAGGCAGACGAATGTCAAAGGCACCATCGGGCTACTTAACAGTATTGCCTAAGTCCAGATATCTAACTATCCATGAATTACTTGATTTTTTCCACTTTTCATCTGCATGTACTACATTATGTAAAACCGTGATAGTTCACCTATTCTGTGTTGTGCAAGATAATGGGAGGGGGTGGACAGACAGGGGGCTTAGTTGGTGGGATAGGATGAAAGGAACCTTCATGTGTACTGAGCCAGACTCTGAAAATATCCTTTTTTTCTTTTTCTTTTGTTACTGTGTT